TCTGAGTATTTCAGAAGACAAGTTGATATAGTAAGTATTTCTTAACATAGTCACCAGAAGACTCACAATACGCAGAACATTTTCTCCTTGATTATTGGAGACTATGGAACACCCATCAATAGAAGCACAAATTTAATTTATTTCAGAATGAGAAACTAAAAGTGTAAATGTAAAAATGAGCAGAGATAGAATTTTTATATTGGATAATGCAAATAAGTTGACCCAGAAAGAAAGCTGAACATTTATGCTTCCTAAAGAAGCACAGAAAATTAAAATATTTTAAGGTGAGTTTTGAATTCAAAATATGAATAAACATATCTGCACAGCTTTTCACCAGAGCTAAATGGTATCAAAAAGAATGACCCTTACAAAATTCCTGATGTGCCAAGATAACAAAAATAAATGGTCTGTCAAATTAAATAGCTTATTTTACTAAAAATCAAAGAGGGGTTCCATGGGGTTCAGTACTGACACAAGTTTTGCTTAAAATATTCATAAATATACATCACAGTAAATATATTAAAACAAATAAAATTTAATAATTTAAAAAAATAATGCATGTCAAATGTCTTTGAATAGAAAGATGGAATGGAAAGAATTCCAACTGTCATTGCTCTTACAGCACACTAATTCCATTGTTTACTAGATTTAGAATATGAACTATGAAAACAATATCATTTTCTAAAATTTTTAGTAAAATATTTTATTTACCAGAAGGTGGTATAAATGTACAGGTTTCTGAAGTCTGATGACATATATTTTGAATACCATCTAGAGTTGCTTCCAATTCTGTGTTCATGTGTTTTCTTTGCTTAGTTAAGTCCTGCAGCTTATGTGCTAAAAATTAATAATTATATATATAATTAAGACCATTATTATTATCTAGATTTCCAAAGGATAATGAACTTGTATCTAATATTTCTGATATCACTTCCCAAATGGAATGAATCCTGTCTCCCCCAAATCTCCATCCACTCACAAAAGATTAAATTGTGCAACATTTCATACATATCAAAATGAATATTAAAATTTTTAAAGGTTTTGAAAAGATATTGCTTCTTCCCATAATCTCAGGATTATAATACAACTTGATTATGGGATCATAATTCAGTTATGCTGAGAAGGCCAGCAGAACTGAGGATATGTTTCTATGCATCTTTCCCCTTAAAATAATACATAACCAGAAATAAAGCTGACTTGAATTCAAATGAAAAATTCCCTGATCCAAACTCTGATTTCTACAATGACAATGTAATCAATATTTTGCACTTGAAAATGTTTCCTATTAAAACATTAAACACATCTTTGATTAAATATATGATTCCATAGCTCAAATACCAGTGATATCGCTTGGTTGAATAGCTGCAAGTTCCTGAATTTCTTCTAGCTCTCTCCAATTAGACTCCAAACTTTGAAGTAACTGTCCCTTCTTTTCAGATAGTTTGTGTAAATCATGCATTTCCTTTTCTGCAAACAGAAATTTTCTTAATATAATTTTGAGTATTATGTTCTTATTCCCCACTTAAATTGCTTGCAGAAACAAAGAAAACTCCTTGACTACTGGTTCCTTGCTTACTGTGACTATGAGAAGTCCATTTTAAGATGAACATGCTTAATTTGAGTATCTAAGGCACTTAGGGAACAGAAATAGCTTGACTATTTCTAACACTTTTACTTCTCTACTTACCAGAAGGTTGTATAAATGTAGTTCTTTCTGCAGGTCGATGACATATATGTTGTATGCCATCTAGTGTTGCCTCCAGATCTATGGTCAAATGTCTTCTTTGCTCAGTTAATTCCTGTAACATATGCTCTATAAAAAATCCATAATAAAACATTACTTAACATAAAAATAGTTACAATATGTTGCACATATTCATCTTTAATACTGGCTCCATGATTAATATGTGTGTAGAATTTCTGATGTCACTTCCAACTGGAATAAATTTACACCTCCTCCATTCACAAGATTAAAGAGAGCACTGGTGTGCTAAGAAAGCCAGCATAATTGATTCCAAATACATATTTGTATCAGTGGTGGGATTCAAGATTTTTTACTACCGGTTCTGTGGGCGTGGCATGGTTTGGTGGGTGTGGCTTGGTGCGTGTGGCAGGGAAAGGATACTGTAAAATCTCCATTACCTCCTCACTCCTGGGGGAAGGTTACCACCGGTTCTCCGAACTACTCAAAATTTCTACTATCAGTTCTCCAGAACTGGTCAGAACCTGCTGAATACCACCTCTGATTTGTATTTAAATATTTAAAAAACCCACAGCACACATACCATTGACACTGCAAGCTTGGGCAGCTGCAAGTTCTTCAATTTCTTGTAGCTCTTTCTGATTAGATTCCAGTGATTCCAGTAACTGCTGCTTCAGTTCAGATAGTTCATGTAATTCCTCTAATTCCTTTTCTGCAAATAGCAATAGCAGAAGTACTAGGATATTTATTTTAAGATTCTGACCTGCCTGGAATGATCTTCAGAGTTACTGTAATTGTTTCCCTTACCCCTTCTCTTCCTCCAAACAAGTAGAACATTTTTTTACTTTCTTCTCTGATTTATATTATGCAAAACTGGTCACACAAGTTCTTTTCCAGCTTTCTTTTTATTGAACTAAAACTGAAATGTAAATTTAAGTATTTTGCTGGCATTAGGCAAGACTTAAATGAAAAATTAAAAAAGGAATATTGTAGGCAAATGAAACAAAGATAAAATATAAGTGTTTCCCTGTCTAGTCTGACTCTAAGGTGTGGTGCTCATTTCTATTTTTTAGCCGAGGGAGCCAGTATTGTCAAAACTCACTTTCTGTGGTCATGTGGCCAGCATGGTTATAAGCCAAAGGTGTTACCTTCCCACCAAAATGTTATCTATTAATCTACTCACATTTCCATGTTTTCAAACTGCTAGGTGAGCAGAAGCTGGGGCAGGAACGAGAGCTCACTCCATTGCATGCTGCTCAGGTTCTAACCCAGACTGTCAGTTGACTAGTTCAGTGTCTTTAACTGCTGAGCCATCGTATTCAGCAGTTAAGAATTGATAGATTGATTGGTTGGTTAGTTGATTAATTTATTTATTGTATAGTTAAAAAATAATAGTAATTGAACCTTGCTTTTAGAGAAGATCAGCTTATAACCTGATCTATTAGTAAGCAGAGACTGCCTAAAGTATCAGAATGACCATCTACCAAAGTAAAGTTCATCTATTAAAGTAAATAGCTGTTAGATCGGTGGATCGGGTCACAAAAGAGGCGAGACGCGGAAGTGAACAATCAGCTCTTTTTATTGAAGTTCTGAGTAAGGACAGTCTTAAGTGTGCGAGCCGCTTGGCTTTATACAGCCGGCCGGCGGCTCGGCGGCCAATGGGAGCGCTTTGAATCTTCCGCGATCGGCTCAGCCAATCGCGGCGGATTCTTAGCGCTCCAATCACAGGTGTTCTGCGAACCAATCGGATTGCGGTCTGAGCGGACCAATTGGAATGCGAGTCTTCAAGAATGTTAATACAGAACACCCCTCCCCTCATGGTTTCGTCCGACGCAGTGTCGTGACGTAGTCGCGCAGGTAGGTGGGGCTTCAAACCTGTCTGGTTGACCTGCGTGGCTCAGTCGGTGTGTGGTCGTCGGCCGGTTCGGCCGGGCTCCGCGTCGCTCTCAACTTCGTTGATGGAACCGCCTGGAATGGTGAGTCGGGCCTGTTGCTGCAACTCCCGCCCGGACTGTCTGGGTTGGTCGAGTTGCGGTCCCTGTTGCTCCCGCTCGGCCTTTCTGGGCTGGTTGAGCTGGCTTGGCTGTACCTTCCAGGTGAAGATCCCGCCTGCGACAGTTCAAGGTCTGTTGGTGAGTATGGCTGGCTTGTTTGAACGTCTCTGTCTATTGATGGGGGGTGTTCGGCTTGTGTTCGGGGGTGTGCCATTGACGCTTCTGTCCTTTCGTCGTTTACCAGCTTGGTTGTTGAGTCTTCCCCTCCCTCTCTGCTTTCCTGGGTTGTTGTTGCCGAGGCGTCGGGGGTGTTGGTGGCTAGTCTGGACCGTAGCTGGTCGATGTGCCGCTTCCAGCTCTTCCCATCTGTCGTTTGGAGTCTGTAAGATCGGGGCCCGGTCACCTGTGTTATTTGTGCAGGAACCCAGAGGGGGTCTCCCGTGAAGCTCTTTGCGTAGACTGTGTCCCCGATGTTGAATGCCCGGTACCGGCTGGAGGAGTCCGGGGGTTTCTCTGGGTTGTATGTGGGGTGTAAGCGCTCCAGTGGGGACCTCAGCTTCCTTCCCATTAGTAGCTCCGCTGGGCTCTTGTTCATGGTCGTGTTCAGCGTGATGTGCTGTATGAAGAGTAGTTTGTTTATCTTTTCCTGGATGTCGCCGGTTTCAATTTTTTGGATGGCTTTTTTTGTGTATTGGACCATCCGTTCCGCCCTACCGTTCGCCGCCGGGTGACCCGTTGAAGTTAAGGCGTGTCTGATCCCCCGTTCGGCTAGGTATTTTTCGAACACCAGTGCCGTGAACTGTGACCCATTGTCCGAAACTATGACATCCGGTAGCCCGTGCGTTGCAAAGAGTCTGTTGAGCTTGTCGATGACCACTTCTGTTGTTGTTGCCCTCATAGTGCTTACCTCCAGCCAGTTGGAGTAAGCATCTACGGTGATGAGGAATGTATGCCCCTTGGTTGGCCCGGCGAAGTCTATGTGTATTCGCGACCATGGTCCTCTCGGGGTCTCCCATTCCAGGACCGGCGCGGCGGGGGGGGTGGCTCTCGACTCTTGGTACCTGCTGCAACCGGCGACCCATGTCTCGATTTGTTTGTCCATCCCTGGCCACCAAGCGTAGCTTCTGGCCAGGGCTTTCATCTTGACGACCCCCGGGTGTCCCTCATGCAGCATTGCCAACACTCTGTCTTGTAGTGTTTCAGGTATGACTACCCGGTCGCCCCAGAGTATGCATCCCCTTTGCGAGAACAGCTCAGTCTGGCAGTTTCAGAAGGCTCTGAACTGTTCGCCGCTGTCACTTTCTGGCCACCCCTGCTCTACCCAGCTCAATACCTGCACCAGCCGTTTGTCTTTATTTGTTTCCTGGGCAATGTCTGGCGCGGTTAAGAGTGGGCTGGGTAGGGTCTTGATTTGCAGGGTCATCGTTGTGGGCGCTGGGTCGTCTAGGTCGGGTAGTGGTGACCGGCTCAGTGCGTCAGCGTGCGGAATGTTCTTGCCGGGCCGGTGTGATAGTTCGTATGAGTACGCAGCCAGGTACTCGGACCACCTCGTCATCCGGGGCGACAGGATGTTCGGGGTGGCCTTGTTCCCTGCGAGTATCCCGAGCAGGGGCTTGTGGTCCGTAATGATAGAAAAGTCCCTGCTGTAAAGGTATTCGTGGAACCTTTTCACTCCGGCGACGATGGCGAGGGCTTCTTTGTCTAGTTGACTGTAATTTCTTTCCGGTTTGGCCAGCGTTCGGGAGAAGAAGGCGATGGGTGCTTCCTTCCCGTCGGGTAGGGTGTGGCTGAGGACTGCTCCGATGCCGAAAGGTGATGTGTCGCACGTTACCGTGAGCGGGAGGGTCTCACTATACTGGATCAGGACTGCGTCCGATGTTAGCAGGTTTTTTGTTCGTTGGAACGCAGTCTCCTCCCGCTTCCCCCAGGTCCAGGTGGCCGCTTTATCGAGTAGCCGGTGTAGGGGTTCCGCCACGGTCGCCTTTTGGGGTAGGAAAACATTGTAAAAGTTAAGCAGTCCCAAAAATGCCTGTAGTTCCGCCTTGTTTGTTGGTGTGGGGGCTTCCTTGATGGCTCTGAGTTTCTTCCCAGTTGGGTGTATTCCCTGCCGGTCCAGGAGGTACCCCAGGAACTCGACCCTCTCAGTGTGGAGTTGGCATTTGTCCCTTTTGACTTTAAGGCCGGCATCTTTGAATTTGTTCAGCACCTCCCTTAGTCGGGTCTCCAATTGTTCTCTGTTGGCGGCTGCGATCAGCACGTCATCGAAGTAGGGAACCACCCCTTTTATTCCCTGGAGGAGCCTTTCCATGAGACTTTGGAAGACTCCTGGGGTGACGCTGACTCCAAATTGGAGTCGGTTGCACCGAAAGGCCCCCCCGGTGTGTAACTATCGTTTGCACTTCGGCCATCTCCGCATTGACCGGCAATTGCTGATACGCTTGTGCCAAGTCGAGTTTTGCGAAGACCCGGCCTCCCCCCAGTGAGTGCAGAAGGTGTTGGACTACTGGGACGGGGTAGGCGCTTTGCTGTAGCGCGTGATTGAGGGTGGCCTTGTAGTCCCCGCAAATTCTGATGGAGCCATTGGGTTTGATGGGGGTGACTATGGGCGTTTCCCAACGGGCATGTTTGATGGGCTCTAGTACCCCTTGCGCGACGAGCTTGTCTAGTTGCTCGTCGATTTTCGGCTTAAGTGCAAAGGGCACTCGCCGGGGTTTGAGGCGGATCGGGGCGACGTTAGGGTTAAGGTTGAAGGATATAGGAGGCCCTCGGTACTTGCCTAGCGAGTTGTCGAAGACCTCCTGGAATTCCTTTACGAGAGTCGCTTCCCAGTCGGCCTTGTCTGTGTGATGGATGCCCGTCACCTCGATGCCCAGCGGGGCGAACCATTGTAGGCCGAGCAAGCTGGGGCGGTCCCGGTCCACAATCGTGAGTGGCAAGATGTCGGTGTGGTTCTTGAATGTGACCTTAAAGTGCCCGATGCCGACCACAGGGATGCGGTTTCCCTGATAGTCTTTCAGGATTAGCTTCTGGTCGTCTAGTTCGTTGCGGTGGATGGTTGGGACCAGGCGCTTGATTGTGCGCCAAGAGACCATTGAGAGGTAGGACCCGGAGTCCACTTCCATCTCGCAGGGCTGGTCCTCGATGCACAGTGCCACGTGTACCTTCCGGGCGTCCATGGTTGATGAATGGCCGATGACGACCGTCTGGTGGGTCTCCTCGCGCTGTTGTGCCTCGCTGAGTCGTCGGCTGCGGCTGTCGCGGCTCCACCGGCTCTTGGTCGGTCGGTCTCAGTGCCTGGGGGGGGTGCCGTCTCGTCGTCGTGGGCTGTTTCGTCGTCGCTGCGGGCTGTAGCTCTTTTTGTTGCGGTACATGTGCCCCCGCTTCTCACAATGCCTGCAAATGGCGTCGAGAAAACGGCATTCGGAGCGGGGGTGATCGCCGCCGCAGCCGGTGCAATGGAAACCCGACTTACGTCCCCTGCAGTCCCAGCGGTCGTGCTCGGTCTGCAGCCGGTGGATTTCCTCGTCGTCGTCGTCCTCAGTGTTGGATTGGGGTTCGAGGTCACCATGATGCGTGGTTGTTTCTCGATGGCTGGATTCCCCGGGCTTCGTGGCGGTGGGGGCCGCGTCGTTGGTCGGTGGCCATTCAGTCGTGTTGGCTTGCCTCATCCGGGCTGCTGAATGGCGGGTGGCCTCGGCGGCGGTGGCCTCGGCGAGGGCGTTGGCGAGGGAGATGTTGCCTTTGGCCATCAGCCAGCTCTGCAGCACGGGGTCTTGGAGTCCAAGGACGACTCGGTCCCGAAGTGCCTGGTCCAGGTCGGGGAATTTGCAGGGGCCTCCCAGGTTCCGTAGCTGGGCCACGAAGTCGCCGATGGTTTCGCCTTCGCGCTGATCTCGGCGGTAGAAGTCGTGCCTACGAATGAGGATGGGCATGGTCGGGACGTAATGGCATCGCAAAATGGGCTCGAGGTCAGCCCAGTCCATTTCCTTGACGTCGGCGGGCTTTGCCAGTGCCTTGGCCATTTTGAACACTGCGTGCCCGCAGTGTGTGAGGAAGACTGCCCATTTCCTCTGGCCGTTGGCGTCTTTGAGGTTGCTGCATTCCAGAAACATCTGGAAGTGATCGATATATGACTCCCAGTCTTCGGTTGCTGGGTCGAATGGAGCGGGCGGCAGGGTGCTGGCCATTGTGCAGGGTGCCGATCACCGTTTGCCACGTGCTAGTTGGTCCTTGCCTCACGATCCCACCTTCGTCGCCAGTGTTAGATCGGTGGATCGGGTCACAAAAGAGGCGAGACGCGGAAGTGAACAATCAGCTCTTTTTATTGAAATTCTGAGTAAGGACAGTCTTAAGTGTGCGAGCCACTTGGCTTTATACAGCCAGCTGGCGGCTCAGCGGCCAATGGGAGCGCTTTGAATCTCCCGCGATCGGCTCAGCCAATCGTGGCGGATTCTTAGCGCTCCAATCACAGGTGTTCTGCGAACCAATCAGATTGCGGTCTGAGCGGACCAATCGGAATGCGAGTCTTCAAGAATGTTAATACAGAACAATAGCCTTGCTTACATTTTTCTATTGAAGGACTATCCCAAAAGGTAAGAGAATAACAAGAGTTGGAAGGGACCTTGGAGGCCTTATTGTCCAACCTCCTGCTCAGGCAGGAAACCGTATACAATTTTAGACAAATGGTATCTCTGTATTTGTATGGTAGAAAAATGAGATATCTAATACTATATTTTTTATGAAAAATTACTTTTGTTACAATGAATCCCTTTTTGAACTGTAAGTCTTACATGTAGCTCATGGACTGTTTAGAAATTAAAAATGGTTCACTAGAATGATAGTTATGGTTGTTTTTTCAAAGATGGCACTCAAATATTAAGATAAAAAGTGTCACTACAACAAAATTATTTCCAGTTAGTTAAATAAACCTCAATATAACTGTATTCTTTAAAGATCCAATTTTTTAACAAAAAAAAAAAAAAGATTGAATCTATCCAAAGATTCAAGATAGTAAAATACAATTCCAAAAAATAGAATTGAGCATCAGAGCTACCCAAAAGTACGCAGGGTCTTAAAATCAAGTTGATTTAATTTGACATTTTGAAGATTAGTACTCCCTTCACACTAATTCAACTATATGAAAGGTTAATTTTGGTTTAATAAGAGAAATAGCAAGAAAGATAAGGTGGCATTGAAATACACTAAAAGCAAACTGTGACAACTGAAATAGAATAAGTACATTCCAAATCAGGACAATAACTGATTATAATAATCTTAGGATCTGTCCACATAGCCCATTCAAAATGTAAAAAAAGTATTTTTAAGAGAGGAGGGCAATTGCTTTGGTTAAATGTGCAGAAGTTGCTGTTCCAAAGTATTCAAGTTATTATCATTCCAAAGATGGCATAAACGCTTGTACTGTTGAGTAGTATGACAATTTCAATTGCTAAACTCCAAAGATTGGGCTTTCTTAATAAGAAAATGGTAAATTAATTGCATATATTTATTTCCCTTTTTGATTATACAGATTTAAAGTTATATTTGTGAATTTTTAATTGTTCTCAGAAAGAAATCTGATGGCAATAGCTCTTTGTATACATCTGATACACTCACCTTGAAGTCTGCTTTCAATTGTAAGTCCTGGAGCGTGAGACCATGCTCTTTGGATATTCTGCAGATTTTGCTCTAAATGCTCAGCCACTTCATTTCTTAATTCAGTTAATTCTTTTATTTTTAAATCTGTGAAAACAGATACTTTCTCCTACATTTTGCATTCATTGTGTTGGAAAATATTAATTTTGAATTAAATAGAATTGTTATGTACCCAATAATGTATTTAAAAATATATTACCTGAATACTGTGTAATAAAGATAAAGGTAGTCCTTACTTAGAAACCCTAATTGGTACTGGCAACTCGCCACTAAGTAAAGTAGTTGCTATGTGGGAAATCACATGATCACAACCGTGCTCTGGCTAGAAAGAGACAATACTACCTCAGTTCCACATCTTTCATTTTTCTTTGTATCCTAACCATTCCTCCATCCTTAAAAATGCTTAAGTGACAGCTTCTTGTTTTGTACGCATAAAAAGCAATACAATTATGCTGCAGCTGCAGTCCAGGGATAGGAACTATAGGTATGTTACACAAAAAGCTTCCAGTACTCTTTTGAAATCACTTCAATCTCTCTGCCAGGAAAAAAGTAATTGACTTCTATAATCAATATCTCTTTGTTTATTGTATGACATATATCTTATTTCAGTAAAGAGGATACACAAACATATATGTAAGTTGCAAATATAATTTTACTTCATTTGTTGCAGCAAGAAAATCAATGAAATCTTGATTCCTCACTATGTATTGAATATTATCAGCTCCTTAATCACAATTTGATGATTTGCCCCACTTATAGAAGTCATCTGTGCATCTACCATGACCAGTGTGAACTGGATTCAATGTTGTCCATATCACATAAGGCTAGTCAACTCCAGGTGGCTTTTTCAAGATGCAGTGAAAACTTTGTGGGGAAAAAAATTTTTTAGCCAAAAATGCTTCTATCCAGTGCTGTGAATGTCAAAATCCTCTTTTACAAGTGCTTTAGTAGTAGAAATAGCTTGGTGTCAAGATCTCAACCAAGCAGGCTATGTTGCTCAGTATTTACAGCTGAGAATTATTAATAATCTTCAGGTTACTTCTAAAGATGGTACAGGTAGTCCTTGATTTACAACAGTTCATTTAGTGACCGTTCAAAGTTACAATGACACTGAAAAAAGTGACTTATGACTGTTTTACACAACCATTTCAGAATCTCCATGGTTACATGATCAAAATTCAGATTCTTGGCAACTGGTTCATATTTATGATAGTTGCAGTGTCACAAACACCTGGAGCCTTGAAAATAAGGTAGTCAGTTAATCCTAGTAATCCAGTGATCTCCTAGCTATATCACATCATACCAATTTATGCATTAATCTCTCCTTGCCTGATCCCATACCCACTATCTACATAACAGAGAGAGACTGAAGAAGAAGAAATTTAAAGAGAATAAGCTGTTTGCACTTCTACACATTGAAAGCATGGGACCACACCAACTGTGGAGAAAGGTCAGGTAAAAGAGAGATTAAAACGGAAGTAAGTATGCTCTATTCCATATTTAGGTAGACCCAGTTGCACTGATAGACCAGTCTCACAGGGGGGAAAATACTACTGAGAATAAAGGCAGCCATGGTGACATCACTTAATCTTTTATTTGCATTTCATATCCTGGCTTTCATTTCTACTGGTCTTACATTTATAATTATTCTTATCTAGAGAATGTACTTACCAGCAGTAATGCTTGGTTGGGTAGCTACAAGAGTCTCAGCTTCTTCTAGATCCTTTATATTTGATTTCAAAATTGCAAGCAAAGATAGGCTCTGTTTTGCCAGTTTATCAATCTTCTTCTCTGCAAAATGAGAAATACTTTAAAAGTCTGAGGAGGGGAATGTACATATATTGCTGTTTAATTCTATGCTACTAATCTTTTATTTTAAAAATAAAATTATTACTGAGGAAAGAAAAAGAGACACTGTCTTTTCCTAGATCTAACCAGATTTTGTTATTAGGCTGTTATCATTTCTTTCTTTTATCCCCCCCATTTTTTTAAAGAGGGAAACCACATTAATTCTTTTTTAGTCCAGAGTTAACATACTAGAATAGATCACATTAGATTCTAGTTAAATAGAAGAGATCACATCAGATTCTTTGCCTGTAAGAACCAATCAAAATTTATGTTTTGCATATATCACACTTATTTTCTTATGCTAAAGTACCTTCAAGGAATCTAGCACTTTCAAGTTCTTGTTGATTTGCCTCCAAATTATCAACTAATAATGCTCCTTGTTTTTCCAGTTCTTTTACTCTGTTCTCTATAAAAAGAGAAAACATACTATAAATAATTCAAGTGTTGAAGCTTTTAATACGAAAATTAAGCCAAAAAAATCAATTAAATTGAGTATTATATTTCAATAAACAATGTCTAGTTCATCATTCATCAATTTCACATCTTAGTTTCTTGTTTATTCCTCTTTCAACTTTTTCCACCAAGTCTTTAATTCTCAAACCAGGTTCTTTTTTCTTTACATCAGGCAGCACCAAATCTTCAGAGTGCAAATCAAGTCCAACTGTTATTCTCTGCCTTTGATTGCCATTCTGGGATTTATTAAAAGCCATTGCAGACCCATCAACTTTTTAATTAAAGTTTTCTACTAAAATTTATAAGTTAAAGAGCATTTTTTTCCAAAGACTTCCAAGAAATATTTATCATCACAGTCATTATCTCTGATCCCTCCAGGATCAAACAGCCCTGTTTTATTCTTAATAAACATTTTCCTTAACATTTTAACTAAAAACAGGAGGGCAGAGCTGGAGTCTCAATGATACAGAGTGCGATCTTGAAGGTCTGAGATCGCCACCAATATCTTTGCTCCTGGATCGTCCAAACAGATCTAAACCGTCCCAAAGAGACGGTGAATGTAAAGAGCACATCCTGTCAATCCCAGGGATACCGCAAAGTCCCTGGTAGATTCAGGAGCTCTTTTTGCCAGCGGCAAAGAGGCAGCCATTAAAGCTGTTGAAGTTGGGACAGTTCCGAAACAGAAAAGAATAGAAAGAGAAAGTGTGCTGGTTTGGTGAGAATTTTTTCTTTAAGATTTGAAAGGACACCCTAAGGAAAAGAAAGAATCTGTAAAATCTTAGACAGAAGTGATTAAGCAGCGATTTTAAACAGGAAGTCAAATTAAGTTTTTCCTTTTTTTGCTGGACTCTTCATATATGATTTTTTACTTTGAACTGGACTGGTCTTTTTTTTCTACCTTATTTTTTTCTTTTTTTTCTCTTCTACTTTTTGTCTTTATAATATTTTAGGCTAGAGATTCCCTTTTAGCTTTTTTTCCTAAATCTTTTTTCCTTTTTAATTATTTTTTATTATATTTTGTTTGGAAAAGGAGGAGGAAAGTAAAAGCAGAGGAAACTTTGCAACACTGCTAACTAGAGGCTTAGAAATATTGTTTCCCTTTTTTTCTCTCAACCAGACGAAGCTGAGAAAGAACTGAGACTTCTTTTCAAGGACTTTGAGCCTGTCTAATAAGATAGAGGGAAGAGCATGGGAGAGTATTATTGCAGGTGCTCTTCTAGGTTTCTATCAGTAGCTGCAGTTTGGTGTTGAAGTTTACAGAAACAAGATGATAAGACTCAAGAGTTATAAAATTTTAAAAAAGCCTTGGGTAACTAAATAGGTGCAGTGTGTTCTTTTTCTCTTTTTTAAGCTGGGCTATTCCTTACTTTAACAAACCCCCTCCTTATCAGCTTATTATTTGTAATAGTCATTTGAATCTTTGGACTTTTGGAACTTGCTTTTGTCCTTCTTTTTGCTTTTGGAACCGAATTTCTACTTTTGCATTTCATTTTAAAGGACAAGTCTTAGTATTAATGTTTTCTTTTTTTTTTAAGGGAGTAGTCTTTTTTCTTTTTTTCTCTCTCCCTCTCCTGCATTTTTTATTTATTTTTCATATTGGTTTTTCTTTTGTGGCTTCTTTTTTTTGTATACCTTTTCATACCTGAAACTTTTTAATTGGATTAAAGTGTTGAAGAACCTGAAAAATTTCTTTTTTCTTCTTCTTTACTTTTTACTTTTTATTTTTCTGCCATCTACAAGATTTAACAATTTTTCCCTTTTTCTTTTAATGGTCTTTTCTTCCTTTTTTGAGTTTTTACTGCTATTTAACCAATCGATTGGATTAAGGTATACAAGAACCTGAAGAATTTTTTTTTTTAATTTTGCTTCTTTTTTTCCACTATTTTTACTTGGAATTACAATTGGTTATTTCACGAGTGGATTAAGGTTTAGAAGAACCTGAAGATTTTGATTTGTCAGAAATGAGTAGGAAACTAACAGTGGCTGGTTCTTCAATTCCTACTTCTTCCTCTTCGCCCTCTGGAGGACAACGTTCAATACAGATGATGTTACAACAAGAAAAAGAACAGGAAAAGGTGACACTGCAGATGATAATGCAAGGAATTCAAATCATACAAGCAACAACAGAATATTGAAAAGAGAATAGAAAAAAACTGATGAAAAGGTGGAGAATATTCAACAAATGATGATGAAGTATGATGAGAGACTCCAAAAAACTGAAGAAGATAAACAACATTGGGATAAAGTTAGGAGGAAGTTATTAAGAAAATATTGGAATGTGCTGAAATGAAACAATTTTATAAGATTCGGGATCTATTCGATCAATGGTTAGACAATAAAACATGGTAATGAAATATGTAGATTTTTAGAACATAATGAAGATGTATTATTATAATAAAGATGTATTATTCTTGTCATATCTACAAAATGATTATAGGATTTGAGATAATATGAACTGTTATAAAACAAATTAAGTAAAATATGGATTATCTTGTAAAACATGAATGAATAATACTATAATCAAATGATTGATTAACAATGATATTAATGTATTTAGGAATATTTGATTGACAATACGAGAACATATACAATGTAATTGTAAGTGAAGACTATGAAGTGGAAGCACAAAACAATTTGTAAACCAACCGACACTTTATGTACATATATGGAAGATAGCTTGATGTTTTTATGTTGTGTTTGTCTATGTTTGTCTTAAAAATAATAAAACTTTTTATTAAAAAAACATTTTAACTAAAAACTTCCCCAAATATCAAACTTAATGTTGTTTCAAACGTAGTCTGGCAGACGACCAGAAAACGAAGCATGATTAGGATTAGAAGACCAATAAATATATATCCACTAAGTTTCTGTGAAAAATAATTTGGATCATTTCCCATTTAGCCAAAAAGCCCTTTTGGTACTTACCATTAATTTCTGATGGCTGGGAAGATGCAAGAGCTTGGGCTCGTTCCAAATCTTTCATATTTAATTCCACACTTGCACGTAACTGGGTTCGTTCTTCTGAAAGCTTCCTAATTTCTGTTTCTAAAAATAAACATAAAATAAATCTGCCTATAAAACTCTCTATCCTGACAAAAATGTCAATGATTTTATTTGCAAAATACATGCTCTACTTAGGGGTGGGATTCTACCTAGGTTTGCACCTATTCGCTAGAACTAGCTGTTAATATTCTAAGCAGTTCGGAGAATTGGTTGTTAGAAGAAATTACTGGCCTAATCCTGTAAGGAAGGCAGGAAGGAAACATTCTGGTATTGCTTACAGAAACTGCCTCTCCATTAACCCTTATTACATTCTTGGCAGGACTAGACTTCCTGTCTCAAGAACTTCTCTCGAGTTATTTTTCCCTCCTTTGCTGGTACTTTGCTTGTGTGGAGTGATCATTCAAAGTTACAATGGCACTGAAAAAAAGTAACTTATGACCATTTTTCACACTTATGACTGTTGCAGCATCCCCACAGTCATGAGAGGCCAGGCGAGGAGATGCGTGCCTCGATGTGAGTGATATTGAGTTGGCCACACCTACCAACTAAGCTACACCCACAGAACCAGTTGTTAAAAAATGTGAATCCCGCCCCTGGCTCTACTGATGAATCAGAACTCACTTAACTTCTGAAGCATTATAGTTTGTGGTATTAATGTTTTTATCTTATTCTGTGTTGAATCACTCATAACTAATATATAACTATGTACTAGATAGATAGACAGACAGACACAGCAAGCAAGCATCTGGTTTATTCTAATTTTTCTTTTTATACCCATTTTTGATTGTTATCAACATTTTCCTTGTTTTTAATTCTTGTTTATTTATTGTGTTTATGTTGTACACAATTCAAAGTCTGACTTGAGCAGTCTTATAAATCTTGAAATTAAATATAAATAACATTTGTGTTAATAATGATTTAAATATTATATAATATTATATTCTACATGATTTGATACTCACCAATATTTTCTAGTTTTCTAACTTGTTGATAATCTTTTATTTGTGAGTCTAGGATTGAAAGGAAGGCTGTTCTTTCCTCTGCCAGATCATTTCTTTCTATTTCTATTTAAAAAAGGAAGAACTATTTAATCTAACCAATGATGCTAAGGAACTAAACATACAACAGTAAAGTTACAATTCTATTTGTTTATAGTCTTTCGTGAGAGTAAGGATTAATTTATTCCATCACTTTACTTTTTCTACACTATTATAACAATAGGATAATTTATATTAAGGATCTCATTTTAATATTTATCTTACAGTTTCTACCTGAAAGATCAGCTTTAGGAGACTGCTCTTGCAGTAAAGCTCTAACAACCGATACTATATTTGCAAGCAAAGTTCTTTTTCTTTCATCTTCCTCTCTTTCACCTATATGCATTAAAAAAAAATGAGATAAATTATTATTTTAAATAGGGTATTTCCTCTTTTCTCACCAGATGAAAGAAGTGTATTAAGAGTCTTATGTTGGTCTCTGGGCCAAAGCCCCATTGCAGGAGGTGCAGTCTATTTGATCACCTCCGGTGCATGTTTTTATCCCTCAATGCTTTGGATTTTGGGGCAGCTTGCAATGAACATACAATACGGGGTCCAAATTGGATCATGCCTGTGTAGACTCTCTGTGAATGTGGATCCTATAGAGCTGAGATCTTAGGAGATGCCTAGAACTCCACTGGCAAAAGGCAAAGGGGTAAAGCCAACAAAGCGTATGTGGGAGCCTTCATTAAGATTTACCTTGTGGCAGTAAGAATGATACACTCCACTTATTTCTTTACTTTCATTGCATCTGCATATAAACAATGAGCAGCCCTATTTAACTGACCAGGTCTCTTCTGGGTTAAGAAGAGACTGGGAAAGCCCTTATTAGGTCATTGTGATCTTCTTGACATGTGTTGAATAAAGTCATTTCATTTTGCTTCGAGTTGAACATTGGCTGGGCAAGTCTTATGGAACTGAAGTAGTTCTGGCTTTATTAACTGGAAAGAATTTGAGCCAGTTGCTCCAAAGTAATACAGGATCCTTGGAGACGCAAGTTCTGCTAGACCCATCCCCTTTCAGATTGGTTAAGGCCTCTTGTGAGATTGCGTAAACAAAACTGGTGATTAATTACTTTTTGTAGGAAATATTGGGACCACTTCCCTTGCAGGACATATGATATACCCCGTTCTTTACAGACTATCCTTAGATTCAATCATATTAGATGACTTTGTCCAGTCTCTAACCCTCCTCTTGTTACATAAGGTTGTTTTGGATAGCAGATATCTAGGAGGTCCATGGCCCTAGATGAAGTGGATTATATCTATATTAACTTTTCAGTCAGAATTCAGCTGGGGTTAAAGCACTAGGATAGCACTTGTGGGTAAACTATGGAAGTCTAGAATGTGAATGGTGCTAGCCCTCCTAGATCTCTCAACAGCATTCAATATCACCAACAATGACCTCCCTTTTGGAATGGCTTTCAAGAGTGGGAGTAGAGGCACTATAATGGTTCTCCTGCCTTTGTGGCAGATTCTAGTCGGAGTTGCTGAGGGATGAGAGGTCAAGCCCTAGACCCTTCAATGTGGGGTGCTCAGTGCTCCAGTCTTTTGTTCCTTACGACACCTCTAGAATATATAATCAAAAGGCATGGGGTACAGTATCATCAATAAACTGATGATACTTACCTATATATCTCCACCACAGATGAACCAAGAATGTATAATCCCAAGAAATAATATATTTAAAAATGTGAATATAAAGATACACGGTAGATGTGAAATATTTTGATAGATGATAATTACATATCATCGTTCCTAATTTAGCACTTACCAGCTTGCTGCATTTCATCTGGAGTTACCAGTTGATTTAGCATTTGAAGTAACTCAAGTTTTTGTCTCTCTGGTAATTTTTCTATCTCATTTAAAAAAATACAAGTTAGAGTTTTATTAGCAATATAATTTATGGAATCAATGTTTGATCATTTAGATCTTAAGCTAATAATATTGGAAAACTAAATATATTTTGAGATAAAATAGCCACTCCTAACCCATCCTTTTGCTTGCTCCTATATTTCTATTCAGGAGAGTTGTCTGGGATACTGGTAATAAAATTATGGATTTTTTTTAAGAGGAAACTGTCCAGAGCAAAGTGCTTATATTTCTCTGCAATTATACTTTCTTTCAAAATCATATTTACATACCCTTTTTATCTAATATTTTGCACTACAACCACAACTATTCTTTATAACAACAACAGGTTCCAAGCATAGTAAGATTCAATTGAAATTGTATTGTTTGTTTAATTCAGAATATGGAAAAATATTCTCTTGATTAGAGATTTAGGCTTGGCATAAAACTTTGATATGATAGTGCTTATTGCTTACTGACCAAATTGTACCTCAAATGGTATGATTAGTAAGGAATGTTATGCTAGGCTGTAACTAAGGCAAGTAACTTAAACTATATTTTATTAAGAAGTATTATGTGAAGTCCTCAGTTGACCAAGGACATGAAAGATAACAAAGATCAAAATTTGTGAGCCCATCTAGTGATGATTACAGTATATGGAAGATTAAAAGTTAGAATTAAAGGAGAAAGTATGTATTACTACAAGAAATGAAATGAAATAAATAAAATAGATATAGTGTGTATCTACAAAATTAAGAGGAAAAAAGAAATGTGGTATTGTAAAGAGTGGAATCTGTAAACAAAAGATATGGAAGAAAAAGAAATGAGAGATAAATGAAACCATTATAGCAAGACAAACTAAATCCTATAGTTTAAAATACTTGAAGATAAATTAATCTCCCAACAGAACAAATAGGAAGAGGACAAGAAAAATGTTTGGAACAGAGTGAAAAGAATTCTGTTAGAGACTGCCAGGGAAATATATAGACTTTTAGTAGTAGCATGTATAAAAAGGATGTATGGTGAAATAATGAATGAAAGAAATGAATAAATAATGACCAGTAGGAAAGAAATAAGCTCATGTGGCTTGGTAATATAGGAGAATGAATGAGGATCAAACAATATGTGAAGGAAGATTAAAGAAGGATTCAAAGGAAGGCAAAGATCAGAAAATTGTGCTTTGGATCAAATCAATGAGCTCCTGAATTTAACAAATAGTAAGCAATATATAGAATAAGATATGCACACTATGACAGCAATGCTGATTTGTAAAAATGGAAAGATAAAGCCAAATAGTATTGGTATAAAGTAGATTTAGCAACATTTCTTACTCTCATCCTTAACTCATGACTTGTATTATTTTAGTTTATTTTTTTATTCCTTAGTCCTTTTCTGCAGATTCTTATTCCGAAAGGGAATGGCGTGATGGGTATTTACCATATATTTGAAATTCTGTATCCATGTTAAAGTCCCTGAAGGGCTAAAAAGTATTGGCCATTTACATTCCTTAAAATCCCATAGACTGATCGTGGCAATCATTCCCTGCATATTAGTACAGAAATTTAGATGAATGCTAAGAATCACTGCTAGAAATTAGTGAATCAAATGCCTGCATAGTTCTTTCTAGATTAATAGCAGAGCAATAATGATAGATAGATAAATCAACTATTCTATGGAAAATATATGGCAATTTAGTATTTCCATTATAACCCTATAATTTCTATATACATATTTTTTCATATATTAGAAAAAATATTTATGCTATACTTGTGATAAATGAAAAAGTAGTTGAGCTATTAAAATACAGTATCTATAGCGCCAATTTTGAAAGTCATTGAGTTTTTGCCATAGTCTAAACAAAGAGTGTGTGGGTGTATGTGTGGGTGTATGTGTGTGTGTGGGTGTGCATGCGTGTGTGTGTGTGTGCGTGTCTATGTATGTAATGTATGTATATGTATGTGTATATATACAGTGGGGAGAAGTATTTGATCTCCTGCTAATTTGATATGTTTGCCTCAACAAAGAAATAATCAGTCTGTAATTTCAATGGTAGGTTTATTTTAACAGTGAACGAAAGAATAGCAACAAAAAAAACCAGAAACAAATTTCAAAAAAAGTATAAATTGATTTGTATTTTAATGAATGAAATAAATATTTGATCTCCTATCAATTGGCAATATTTCTGGCTCCCAGGAGTCTTTTATACAGGTAAAAAAGAGCTCAGATTAGGGGCACTTTCTTAAAAGGAGTGCTCCTAATCTCATCTTTTTACCTGTATAAAAGACACCTGTCCACACAAGAAAGCAAGCAATTAGATTCCAAACTGTCCACCATGGCTAAGGCCAAAGAACTGTCCAAGGATGTCAGGGACAAGATTTTAGATCTACACAAGGCTGGAATGGACTACAAGACTATCGCCAAGCAGCTTGGTGAGAAGTTGACAACAACCAGTGTGATTATTTGCAAATGGAAGAAACACAAAATAAGTGTCAATCTTCCTCAGTCTGGTGAGCCATGCAAGATCTCACCTTGTGGAGGTTCAATAATCATGAGAACGGTGATGAATCAGACCAGAACTACATGGGAGGATCTTGTAATATTCTCAAAGCAGATGGGATCATAGTTACCAAGGAAACAATTGGTAACACACTATGCCGTGAAGAAGTGAAATCCTGCAGCACCCACCAGTTCCCCTTACTCAAGAAAGCACATGTACAGGCCTGTCTGAAGTTTGCCAATAAACATCTGAATGATTCCTAGAAGAACTGGGTGCAAGTCTTGTGGTCAGATGTGCCCCAAATCAAGCTCTTTGACATCAATTCAACTTGCCATGTTTGGAGGAGGAGGAATGCTGCCTATGACTCCAAGAACACCATCCCCACTGTCAAACATGGAGGTGGAAACATTATGCTTTGGGAGTGTTTTTCTGCTAAGGGAATAGGAAAACTTCACCATATCAAAGGGATGATGGATGGGGTCCTGTACCATCATATCTTCAGTAAGAACTTCCTTCCCTTAGCCAGGGCATTGAAAATGGGTCATGGATGGGTATTCCAGCATGACAATGACCCACAACACACGGCCAAAGGAACAAAGGACTGGCTCAAGAAGAAGCACATTAAAGTCCTAGAGTGGCCTGGTCAATTTCCAGACCTTAATCCCATAGAAAATCTGTGGCAGAAGCTGCAGGTTCAAGCTGCCAAATGCCAGCCGCGAAATCTTAATGACTGGGAGAGGATCTTCAAAGAGGAGTGAAACAAAATCCTGAGATGTGTGCAAGCCTAGTGGCCAAGTTCAAGAAATGTCTGACCTCTGTGATTGCCAACAAGGGTTTTGCCACCAAGTATTAAGTTATGTTTTGCGAAGGTGTCAAATACTTATTTCACTCATTAAAATGCAAATCAATTTATAATTTTTTTGAAATGCTGTTATTCTTTCACTGTTAAAATAAACCTACCACTAAAATTACAGATTATTTCTTTGTCAGTGAGCAATCATACAAAATCAGGGGATCAAATAGTCGTCCCCCCCACTGCATGTATGTATGTGTGTGTGTGTGTGTGTGTGTGTGTGTGTGTGTGTGTGTGTGTACAGCTGTGTGAAAAAGTCCTGCACATTTTCAGTTTTAAGCTGTATTTACATGTTTAATTATTTTTTCACTCATAGAAATCATGCTAAATTAGTACTTTGATGAAAATTTCTGTAGTAGGATTGAGATGCATAATTTTTATTAAAATAACCAGTCTTTTAAAGCTTTTGAGTGAGTTTATGTGCTAAAACAAACACAACTTGCATTTTCAAGAATGTTATGATCAAAAGTAGCCAATCAGCAGCGAGCTTTGGATGATCAATCAAAATGCACAGAGGCTAAATTTATGAGCCAATCATTGTTGTCATACTCTCTGACTATAAGTAGGCATGAAAAAAAATCAAGAAATCTAATTTAGCTCTGGCTGCAGGCAAGGGTGAAGGCCTTTGCTTTCACCAGTACTGAGCAGCAGCATTGCATCTTTGTGCTTCATGAAGAAGGTTACTCCTGTACAGAAATAGCCAAGAGAGTGAAATGCCATCGCACCACAGTGAGCAGAATGGTTGAAAAACACCAAATAACTGGTTCAGTTGATGACGGGCTCCACTCTGGAAGACCAAGAAAGTCGACAAAACAGCAAGATTGGGCTCTGCAATGCATTTCTATGGCTGACAGGAAGTTCACCTCACCTCAGATTACAAGAATTTGGGGTGAAACATGTGATGGAAAAGTGTGGACAAGTACAGTGCGTCACAGACTGCTTGCCAGAGGACTCAAAGGCTATAGGGTTCGAAGTAAACCTTTGCTCAAAGACGCTTACCACTCTCGTTGACATGCACGGGCCAAGAAGTATGCCAAGTGGACCAACAAACAGTGGGCCAAAGTCATCCTCAGTGACAAAAGCAATTTCTACTTGACTAGGAATCAGTGAAATAAGTATGTCAGAAGATTTCCAGCTGAAGAATTTAGGCCGTACTGCCTGAATCTATGTGTGAAGCATCCATTGCACATGAAGATCTGGGCCTATATCGCTGCTTCTGGTATTGGTCGGATACAAATTGTGCAGGGAATCATGAATTCCAAGCAGTATGTTGAAGTTCTGGAAAAGACCATGATTCCTTCAGCTCAGCAACTTGTAGGAAAGGACTTTTACTTCCAGATTGACAATGCTCCTTATCATCGAGCCAAGTCCATCCAGCAGTGGATGAAGAAGCATGGTGTTCGATTCCTGGATTGGCCAGACCAGAGCCCGGATTTGAACCCAATTGAGAACTTGTAGGCCAAGATTGGTTACAAAATAAGGAAGAAGCATCTGAAGACCAAGCAGGAGCTGATTGAATCCATTATTGCAGCCTGGTACCACATTGTCACCAAAGATCACGTGCAAAGGCTTACATAGTCTATGCCGAAGCGATGCCGCCTGGTGATAAGCAATAAGGGCTGGCCAATTTCATAATAGTAACCCACAAACAACAAAAATGTTAACAAAACCCAAGCATTGGCCTTAGTAATTGCAACACGTATGCCACTGGGTACGCATCAGTTATTCTGTTTTCATAGTCATTATAAGCATGCATTGTAAGCCTGCAAGAAAATTCGCAATCCCCATCCAAACAGCACCAAATTGCAAAAAGCTTATGCTTTTCACTTAAAAACCACTAGTATTTATTTAAATATAACAATATTTGCATAGTAGTTAGCATAAAATATCATAACATCAATGGCCTATCCAAAAAATGCCATAAACTGTAAACCGTAAAACATGCAGGACTTTTTCACACAGCTGTGTGTATATATATATATATATATATATATATATATATATATATATGTATGTATGTATGTATGTATGTATGTATGTATGTATGTATAATACATACATATACACTTTGATTAGACCAGGAGTCTGCAACCTTAAACACTCAAAGAGCCATTTAGGCTTGTTTCCCACAGGAAAAAAAAAAACACCTGGGTAGGTATGGCCAACTTGATGTCACTCTCTCCCACCCAGTCACATGACACCCATCCAACCATGACTAACCAGCCAGTCATTAGGGCAGAGAACCGGGAACCACAAAACTCTTCTCTCCCTCTCTCTCTCCCCTCTCTCTTCCCCCTTTCTCCCCGCTATCTCTCTCTATTTCTCTCCCTCTCCGTCTATGTCTCTCTCCCCCCCATCTTCCCCCTCTCTCTGTATCTCTTTCCCCTCTCCCTCCCCCTCCTCCTTCTCTCGTGATCCCCTGGCCAGCTGTGGCAGGGCTGGGAGAGGGTGCATGTGTGGGGAGACTTGCTGCACTTTGGCCAAGCCTGATTGCTTGCTTGAGGGTCTCCCCACACATGTGCACCCTCCCTACCCTGCCACAGCCAGCCAGGGGGGCACAAGAGGAGGACGGGGAGGAGGAGGAGGGAAGCCACCGCTACGGCTCCCAAGTAATACAGGATCTCAAGTAATACAGCAGAGAGAGAGAGAGAGAGAGAGAGAGAGAGATGCAGGTGCGCGCGCACACACACACACACACACACACACACACACAGATACAGAGACAGTGGGAGACTGGCTGACGGGTGAGTATCTCAGGGCAGAGAGCAGGTTGCGCATCTCCCCAAGCGATCAAGATACGCCCAGCACTAACAAGGGCCGGAAGAAGCTCCAGAAAGAGTGAGGCACCAGAGAATTAGCCCCGGCTGCTTCTCTATCTCCCACCATTGCCCTTATCTTCTCAGATTAGGTGAGGGAGGGGAGGGTGAGGGGCGGGGCCAGCCAATGATAGGAGTGGGACCCACAGCAGAGGATCCAAAGAGCCGCATGTGGCTTCAGAGCCGCAGGTTGCTGACACCCAGATTAAACTATGGCAAAAAACCAATTACTTTAAATTAACCGAGTTAAAAATAACTAGTAAAAACACTAGCATCCTTTTTGTAAATCATAGGGTTTATCTTTTCATTTTTTAAAGATATCTTACTGAAATTTTAGATCTACATAGAATATGATCTTGAAGACATCCAGCAAAGAATGCATTATGTTCTGCTCTCACGTTTCAATGATACTTACCTTTGCCAGACTCAAGCAAGAGTTTCGCTAACGTTTCAGCTTCAGGCATTCCCTTTAGTTTAGTCAAATGATCTTTTAACTGAAGCATGCTTTTACTGATCAAGTGGTTACTTTCCTCCTCTATAATTTTGTCTATAAAATCAAAATACTTTTTAACATATTATAATACAAGGCATAAAGATCACTAAAACCATGCTGTCTAAGTTTTAAGAAATATTTAAGCATTGTTATATTAGAGATCCATTTTAATTATATTGTGTTTGTATATAATTGTGTTTGTACACACAGCAGATGCCCACAAATGTCTGTGTGAAATTATGTTACCTGGCAGTCATTGCACAACTGAAGAATATCAATTTAAGAACAAGAATACATGGCAGAAAAGAATTGAATACTTCCTGTCCTTATGGAATTTATTTTTGGATTGGGATTCGATTATGTTTTATCGATACAGTAAAAGAAATATTTTACTTAATGGGGCTGAGGATCATATAGATTTTTAATCATTTATAATGCACACCTTCAAAAGTCACCTTTACAATTTATCCATAAATAAATTATAGTTTTAAAAATATATTTTGGAATTATTATATTAGGATTGTATCGTAAGATTTCTGTTTTTGAGTAACACTACACAGTGGTGGTATTCGACCAGCTCTGCCTGGTTCTGGAGAGCCGGTAGGAGTGATGAGCAGCGGAGACTGAACCAGTTCTCTCCACTGCTCTGTTGTTGGGCCCATTCTCCTACCTGGGCTCCCATACTCACCTTTATCTGCTGAATTTGAAGTGCAGCTGCATTGTGCAGCACAGAATAGCGCCACGCGGCAGCTGCTAAAGTAACTGGGATTGTGTAAGCTTGCAGGAGCTGAGTTAGAACACCTTTGCACCTGCACAAACACCTCTGCGCCTGTGCAAAGTGCGCATTTGGTGCGCACATGCATGCAAAGTGTGTGCACGCACACAAAGCATGCTCACCAAGCCACGCCCACCAAACCAGTGGTAACAATATTTGAATCCCACCACTGACACTACATAGGATATTTTGCATGCTTTATCATTTTTAAGAGTAAAATAACAAAATAAGAATAATTACCTTTTTTAAGTTCTACCGAGTCTATGTCAAATCTTGGAATTTCTTTTTGCAATGTTAAAGGCTATTGAAAATAATTTAAAAAAATAATAAATAGAATATTACATGCTTTTTTGTAATGTACTTTACTGAAAAGATATTAGTCTTTTCATGTATTCTAGTCACAATTTAATGATTATTTTCTTGTTTTCTGTCTATTCTTTGTGAAATGGAATAAAATATGAATAGAGTTCTGTATATTAATTTATAGGCAAGATACAAGTTACCAAAAATATGACATGACCAGGGTTTTAGTAAATAAGCCCAGGGACTCTTGATTCAGGAAAGAGGGCAACTGGCACACAACACAAAACTGTGCAAATGCTCTTCTAGCCATGACTCCTCAAGAAGGAATCACAAGTCTAGAAAAAACCCCAAGTTGCAACTGAATCTATCTGATGTCGGCCCTTTAAGATAGTCCAAACTAGGAATGCAAGCTATGAATACTACTACCATCTTAACTGTAAAATTACTGCAATATATTTTCAAAGATAATGGGTATTAACTGCAAACAGGAAATCCGAGGCATGACCACAAAATTATTCCTACGGAAATATTTTTAAGAGGGACAAATAATTGTAAAAGACTGAAGATTTATCTAAAGCAGGGGTGTCAAATTCAAGAATCTGGCCCACGAAGTGGTTATATCTGGCCATGGGGCTGCCCTGGAAGCAGTAAAGGACTGGGCCGTTGTGCCTCAGCCCGGCCCAGGCTGACTGGATGCCAATCTACAACCTGCTGGCAGCCACCTGGGCCAGAACACAGTCACCCTTAGATCTACAGGGTCGCACTGGAGCCCATGAGCCACCTCAGCCCTGTCCCCTGGGCAAGAGAACATGGGGCCTGGCGTCCACAGGGACCATGTTGCCCCGCAGGCTGACTATAGTCTGAGCGCTTCACTTTCACCGAGGACTCCAGCACTTACATGTTCACATGCTCGCTGTCTCCTGTGTGCGAACCCAAGGGATGGAACCAAGGTGGCAGGGCAGCCCTGTGGATCAGAACTAAGGCTGGGTGCAGAAAACAATACTGTCCATAGCTTGGGTTCACTGCTTGCTCACATGCACCTGTCTTATTGTTTGAGGGCAGGAACAAAGACTTCAACTAGACATGACAAAGACAAGGCCACCCCAGAGACAGTGAGGGATTGGCTGTCCCTGGCAGACAACCTTGAAGAGCACAGAGGAGGAAGTGAGCATGTATATCTGGCGGGATAGATTGCATGCCTCCTCCCATGCCTATACCTTTACCTGCTGCTGTTGCCACGAGGCAAGGGGAGGCAGATGGCAGGGCGTGGATGGAGCCATCCAACTTCATTTAACTCCACTGCAAATGTAGAACCAGTCTTTTGCCCACTGCCCCACTCAGGAAGGCCCCAGCAAACGAATAAGGCAGGGAGCCCCCATCCCTGAGGTAGCTGTGAGACCTGCCAGATGTGCAGCCGCCTGCTCTGTTCCAGCCATGGTGGCCACAGGCAAAGAAAGATTGTGGAGTTGCAGTTGCGGGGCATGGACCCACCTATGCTGTGCAGGCTGCGGACGCCCAGCTGCCTCTTGGGGATAGGGGGCTCTCTGATTTTCTGTTCTTTGGGACCCTTGCAAATGAGTAGTATGTTTGCTGAAGAATGAGGTGTGATGGCGGAGACAGAACGTGTGAGGGTCACAGCTTGGCAATGATGGCTACCAGTTGGGCTGCCTCGCAACAACCTGTCTTTGTTCCTCCAGTGGATTAGGCGTTGGCACCTGGCCTGGTCCCGCCCCCTTCTGCTGGAGACCCCTCTATCCCCCTAAGCCCTGCCCTATCCCCCACAGAGCCCCCCGATGCAAGCTAAATCAAGTGGGCCATGTCCAATCTGGCCACGTCCACCCAATGGGTCACAACCAACTGGCCATGCCCACCAGGCCCCCCCCACGGGCAGCCACTATGCTGCCCTCAATGAAATTGAATTTGACACTCCTGATATAAAGAGAAAGCAGAGGTTAAGAAATAAATCTTTGTGATGCACTAACAATGTGTAGAAAGGACAGTTAGAAATCTGAAAAATAAATAAAATAAAATAGCACGTGACAAAGGCCAATCTGATTGCTGATAATTTTCCTCTACGTGTAATAAACATTCTAAAGGATACTTTTAATCTTACTATCCTTCATAATAATAATATAAGGGAAAATGCAGATTAAATTTGAAAATTTGAAGAAAGGTACTCCACTAATGAAAAATAATGGAACAAGGTTTCACTGAGATGTACCCAGATATTAAAGCTAATGTAGGAAATTAGCAGAAACTCCACTCAGAAGTATGCATGCTAATGTTTATGTATGTTTCATGCAAAAAAAAAGGCTTTAGTGCTCCAGAAAATTCTTACATGGGTTCTGCAGACAGATTGTCACTGTTATGTATGCAGGAGATGGTTTCAAGTTATTATCAAAATAGAAGCATAAAGAGTTAACTAAGTTTGACCCAATAAAGTAATAACTAAATACAATATAAGAAGTTGTAACTTTCCAAAATATAGGCTAGCGTATATAGCTTGTATACTATATTTTTTGCTCATTTGCCTTTATTTTAAAGTATAGCCATGTTTGACAGATCTGTGACCGCTGGACATACCAGCTCCTGGCTTAAGATACATATCAGGTACTGAAATGTGCAGAAAAATAAGATAGAGCAGTGCCAAGAAGATGATGAAGAGATGGAAGAGATCTGAAGAGATGGATGCCTCCTGCAGCACATCCTGCCAGCCAAAACAGGGTGCGGGGGTTCACGCATGGGCACCCCCCCGTGCCTCATTTTTGCTCTCCATTGCCTCCTGCAGCATTCTGCCGGCCACAAATGGGCCATGTGGCTCATTTTCGGGTAATTTTCTGGCCATTTTCATTCCGTGTTTTGGGCCCATTTTCAGTCAGCAGAGTGCTGCAGGAGGCCATGGAGAGTGACACAAGGCATGGGGGGAGTACCTTTTTAATCACCAGAGGCACCACAGGCCAGTCCCTTGATATTTCCGGGCCAGCCCCATGGGCTGGGTTTAAGCACCCCACAGGCCAGATGCAGCCTGCGGCCCTTGAGTTTGATACCCCTGATGTAAAGGGTTAGATCAGAATAATAGTAACAGGAAAACACATAATGCTCACCTCCATCTATGCTCTACTCCTTTTTTTAAAAGAAATATTATAAAATTATCACAAGTACCTAATGCTTAAATTATTGCTGAAATATTCCAATTTTCATGTGTCTGCTTTGTCATATAAACTAATCTGAAATAATTTGTAAATTCCTGATCTTTCACCAATACTTTGCAATATTTCAGTTATACTTGTACAAACTTATGTGTGGAGACAGTGGCACTGGTCCTTATGTTACATCTTGGTAAAATAACAACTGAAAGTCTTTTTTTGCAAAGTCTCCTATAATTACCTTAACTTCAGCTGTATCCTTCATTTTGAATTCTGGAGTAACTCGCAAAGTTTTCTGTTTAGTACTTGGTATATGTTCTTGAGGAGATATAGTAATTTCTTCTCTCAGGCTTTTTGAGTCTGGTGGAAGCATTTCTACATGTTTATCTAAAATCACTGGCAATATTTTTTCCTCATCTTTTGCAGAATCAGGCAATTGCTGCTTTTCTTCTATAGATACCTCTTTCCCTGCGCTTTAAGTATAACAAACAGCAATTATTTCCTAGGAAAGATTATAAGCAGTCTTGAGTTCCTTCAGTTAGTTCCCAGAGTTCTTACTCAGTTGCAGAGGCTACAGGGGTCCATAAGGATTTATACAACAGATATTTTATCACTTCCAAAGTCCTACTATTTTCAGCCACAAAGGTTGGAAATTAGTGTTGGTAGTAGCAAGGAAGGGGAAGGTTTTTTTCTGATAGATTTTATCAAGTGTCCCCAATGAAAGCAATGGCACAAATGAAGTTTCCCTTGAGAAGACTAAAGCTGAAGTAATTTAACAGAGATGACACAAACATCTACACATATCATGCCATTTGGGATCCTTCATTTTGTTACCACCAGTTTTGTTACTTTTTGCATGTGGAGTTCTCAGTGGATGCAGGAGAACATTAACAGTAGTACAATCTTATTCAGCTGCCAATGCTCCACTCAGGTGTAAGAAGGCTCCTTCAAAAGATCACAGACCCTTCCACTAATCAATAATGAGAAGAAGGTAAAGGTTGCTCATTAGGCAAAGAGCACACTAAAATTCTTAATTACTGAAATTATTTAACAAAATTGTCTCTGATTTCTGCACACATTTATATTGTGTTAACTGAAAGTGAAAAACAAATTCTTCAGTGTTTTAGTTGTCACTAATATGTAAAAACATTTCCTTCCTTTTTTATAATTCATGGGGGACGGGGAGAATTTAACTTGTTCATATACAAATACAGAAATATACCCAAAAGGAATATTATGAAAAATCTTATTCTACAGCTAACAACAAAATCTGAGTGTAATTGTCTCCATTTATTCCTTTGGAGGCATAATGGTATTTATATCATTAAATTTCAACAATAAATGCATTACAGTTGAGTAATCCTTTATGTGATATTAACCCAATAACTACAGAATAGGTAGGTAGATAAGTAGGTGGGGGGGAGAGAGAAAGAGAGAGAGGCAGATAGATAGGCAGATAAATAGGCAGATAGGCAGACATATGTGTATATGTATATGATGTGTGTGTGCGTGTTTAACTGTTTGAACAGTCCTAATTTTTAAATGGTTTATATGAATTGATTCATAGTGTATTTACAAGTTTAGTTTAAATATACTTCTCTGGTTTTCTTCAATCATTTTCCAAAAATAATGTTGTATCTAGAACTTTTTTTAACTTTATATTATAGCTGAAATCAAACTTAAAAATCAATTTCTCATTTCCTCTGATAATGAAACAAAGGTAAAGAAAGAAGAGCTAACAGCTGTGTAATAGGCAGAATAACTTGTTATTGCATAATTTTAGAAATTTTTTAGAAGTTTAAACTACCCAGAGTAAATCGGTGAATTGGGGGACTACAGGAATTGATTGACTGACTGACTAAATAAATAAAGATAAAAATAAATAAATATTTCTCTCTATATAAATGATGTGGGAAAAAGGAAATTTGTCAATCCCTTTTAAAAATGCTAGACTAAATATAAAGAGATATATTTTAATTCTTGATTATGTATCTAAGTGTATTCAACATTCTTAATTTTGGCTGGATTAGGCTAGAATCATATTAATTAGATTTTAGACAACATAATTGGATAACAATAGTTGTAACAATAATAATTTCAAATGATTAACAAAAATATGACTGAATGGGAAATAATTTACCCATAGCAGCCAAAATATCCCTTCTTAAAACTAATGGAATCTTCGTACTAAATAGTAAAATTTTATAAGGCAAGAGTATAGTACTTTTTAGATCTGCTTTTAAAGAACCCTCTAGGTCATATTTCTATCATTGGCTTCAGGAATTATAGCATATATTAATTGTTCCCTTGTCAGACTGAAGTAATACCAATTTAAGAGAAGAAAATCAGAGACTGCCATAACTGTTTGCTGTCCTCTGAAGCTACCATTACTACATCCCAAGTATGTTTGGTCCACCTCCATGATCTTTAATATTTAAAATACTTAAATGAGCTTAGAAATAATCTAAATTTAATTTTTCCAATTCTTACTATGGAGGATTTTTTTCCTCCTAAACACAAGCACGCATACAAGGACTGATTCTTCCCTGCCAATCTGCTGTTGACATAATACCCATTCCATAATCAGGGCCCAATGATTAACATTAGGATTGTTCTGCCAAACCAACATGCTAGTTTTAAATCAGAAGTCTCCAAACTTGGCAACTTTAAGACTTGTGAAGTTCAATTCTCAGAATTCTGGGAGTTGAAGTCCACAAGTCTTAAAGTTGCCAAGTTTGGGAGCCCTGTTTTAGATGGTCTTCACCCATTTTAAATATTTTATATCAGATTTTTTTTATTTGTTGTTTCATTTACAGGAACCATTTGAAAATGCAATTTTAACTAAAGAGGCCAATATATATTTAAACGTGTTATGAATGAATAAAGCCTAAAAAAAGAACAAAATTGGAAACAATCTTTTTTCAAAACAAAACTTCTAGTGGTGTTTCAGAAGTGTCTAATAAAACTGCAGAACATATCGGAGCACAACAAATCTTATTTATTCATCAGCAAGACCCGGCATCCTTGTATTGGTTTTATTTCACTCCTCGTGGAAGTTTGGAAATCATTCTTCAAAGATTTTCAGGTATTCTTTTAGGACCTAAAGAGCAATCCGGGATTAATTTTAATAGATTATTCTGATGTGTTATTAACAGTTATAACTGTGCTTAAACAAATTGGGATGGAATATTTTTTCAAGAAATACCATTTATAGTAAAAAAAAATGATTCATTTTCTTGTTATAATGGAATCTATCATAAAATGTTTCCCTTATTTCGATTCACAAGACATTCCTATTAGAGAGTACTCTAATGAAGAAATATCAACTGAAGTCCCACAGTAAAGGTTACACAATATTCCCAGGTTGAAATAGTAGCTCATAGGGTTACACAAGTTTATCTGGTAAAAAATCAAGGGAATGTTTTTTTCCCAAATCTCTCAAGATCTTGCCTCAGAATATTTTGAATTGAGCTTTTATTGTTCTATAGTTGGGTCCTGAAAATAAAGATATCTTTATATATCTTCAAGCCAATCTTGATTCTTGTTCTTGGCAACATACAGTATTTCATAAGAGGTTTGCAGTTACCTTCCTAAGACTGAGAAAGCAATTGAATCAAAGTCATCTATGGCTTTATGCCTAAGGCAGGACTAAAACATATAATATATACTCCTGATTTCTAATTCAGTGACTTCAATCATTACATCAAGTTGGCTTTTAGATATCATATAGATTCTTTATATAGTATAAGAGATAAAACATGAAACTACAAAGTATATACAAAGCAGGGCTTGGTATTCTCTCCGCTCCTGTTCAACATTTATATGAAGCTGCTGGGTGAGATCATCTGTCACCATGGACTGAGGTATCACCAATATGCTGATGATACTCAGCTGTATGTCATGGCCCATGGTAAGTTAAGTGTTGCTGTGTCTTCCCTCTCGCAGTGCCTGGAAGCTGTTAGGGGTTGCATGGGGAGCAACGGGTTGAAACTATACTCTTGCAAAACCAAGTGGCTCTGGGTTTGGGGTTCGATGGCTCAGGGAGAATTGCCACCTTTGGTCTTGGATGGGGTGGCAGGGTTAAGGTATTTTCCTGGACTCACGACTCCTGCTCGAAGAGCAGGTGGCAGTTGTGGCCAGGAGGGCCTTTGCGCAACTGCAGGTTATGCACCAGTTACGCACTTTCCTGGACCAATGGTCCCTACTCACAGTCACTCATTCCCTGGTCACTTCCCACCTTGATTATTGCAATGCACTCTACATGGGGCTGCCCTTGAAGAGCATCCAGAAGCTCCAGTTGGTGCAAAATGCAGCGGCCCACATGGTTTTGTGCAGATCCCGGTGTGCACATGTGTCACCTCTCCTGCAGAAGCTGCATTGGTTGCCAATTTGCGTCTGGGTGCAATTCAAGGTGCTGGTTGTCACCTTTAAAGCCCTTCATGGCTTGGGTCCGGGTTATCTGAGGAAACATCTCTTGCAAGTGACATCTACCTGACCCATTAGAGCAGGGAGGCAGGGAATGTTGTGGGTCCCATCCCTGAGGCAGATATACTTGGTGGGACTCAGAAGAAGGGCCTTCTCCATGGTGGCTCCCTCTCTCTGGAATATCATTCCCCCAGAGATTAGAATGGCCCACCCTCTAGCACTCTTTCAAAAGCACTCTTTTTGCCAGTGGGCCTGGGGAACCCAGAGTGGGATGGAGCGCATCAAATGGTTAGTGTGATCTGCTGTTGTCGGGGCAGAGGTGTAGGAGTTGGGTGTGTGTGTGATTTTTTTATTTTTTTATTTTTATTTATTTTTTCCAGATTTTGTTCTATTGTACTTTATTAATTTGATTCTTTTTTGTTAGTTTTCATTGTTTCTTTATTTTTTATTTTTATTTTTTGTTTTAAATATGGTTTTAATTGTGTAAGCCGCCTCAAGTCGCCATGGGTGAATAGGCAGCAATATAAAGTAAGTAAATAAATAAACAATATATATTCTACCAACTCTTTTCCCTTTCAGAATAATATAAGTTGTTAAATAAGATCTGGCAATTTAATTTTTTTTTTTTCAGAAATAAGTACCATCTCTTTAAGTTTTATATCAGTGGTTCATTACTTTTTATTATTAAATATTATCATGTTTTATTTTTATTTTTTTAAAATATACATCCATATTGTGTCTGAATAGAGTTGGTTCTGGGTATCATTCATATTAATCTAATTCGCAGTAACAATATTAATCTCTAATATTCTCTATCACATTTATCAAATTTAAGCAATCTTCATTATATTGTACAAACAAAAAATGCCTCGCTCCTCATCTTATCTCTATCTTTCTCTATATCTTTCTTGTTCAATCTAAACATTTCTCTATTGTGTATATGCAAAGTTAGTTCTGGGTATCGTTCATATTAATCCAATTCACGCTAACAATGTTAGTAGTCTCTATCACAATTATCAAATTTAAGTAATCCTCATAATATTTAAAC